ACCTTGATCTTCTTCAGAATGAGTTTTCAGATCACCGTTATAGGGTCTTCTCTTCTTCCATTTCATTTAAATAAATAGTTTTATGCACTTTTGGAAATCTCTTGATATTTGCTTTGAATAAACCAAAAGTATTCAAGGAAGGTGAAAAATCATATTTTAAGATAATTAGAGGTACAACCTTCCTCCTCTTAACCCTCTCAGGCTCAAATTAAACTTTTTGTTGCTAATGCACAACCAAGTCCTGCAGTGGTACTTCTGAGTAAAAAAAAACTCATAAAACATGTATGTGGGGAAATCAGGTTGTTAGTTTTTAACAGTTGCAAATCGGCAACGCCTGCCTTGAGAGGGTTAACTTCCTTCTTAAGTGGATTCAATGACATTTTGACTTTGTTGGTATATATTCAGGCTGAAATCATTATTTTAAAGCCTCTAGTTATATTATCTCTGACACATTAATGAGAGCCGTGCCCTGTCATACTTTGTCTTCAGTAAACTTCACCTCAGGGTTATTAATTGTGCGGATTTTATCTGCAATATCTGACTGACCATTAAGAGTGTGGTGAGCTCTGGGTTCACGACTGCTTAGAAGTATTACTTTTTGTTTCCAGAGATAGCAATCTAGTTAACTCAAGCACGTAGATATGTGACATCACTTGATGAAACATGAACCCTCCTTCACACCAAGTTTCTTCATACTGGAGCATTTCCAGAATGAGTGAACTGCTCTTTTTCAGAATGTAAATCATTCTAATGAAACGCTATCGAGCCTGAAAGATGCTTGAAATGATTTTGAAATCGCAGTGTATTACTGTCTTAATGAATATGACCAATAATGTTGCTGAAACGGGGAGACTTCACAGGACGGTCATTAAAGTGAAGGTGGCCACTTAAAAGTATCTTGATTGTGACTCACTCGATCTTGGTCGTGTGTGATATGTAATTACAGGTGCAGTCTAGATGATATCACTTTCATGTGCAAAAAAAAAGTCATTTATTTTAGGGGAGCAGGTTTAAAAATGCAAGAAAATGATAAGACGGCAAATGAGAAAATCGTGGAGTGCATTAGCACTGCGGAGGATACAAATGCTGAGAGCAGGCTGACGTGTCAACAAAAAAAAGCAGAAACTTGGGGACACAATCACAGAATAAACAACCTAACTGCTGTAAAGGACATGTCACACCAGCTGCAAACACAGCAGTAAAGTCAAATCAGCGTGTTGCTGCAGACAGTAAACAGCAGCCAGCCAATCCCAGCGGTCATAATGATCCTTAATGTGTCACTGACTCATGCACGTTGCATTTTAAAAATACTGTTATTTGGATGGGACTGCACAGATGTGCTTTCTTAGCGCACAAGGTTTTTATGGCTACAACCCCCCGTTTTTTCCTGCATTTTGTCAGTGTTCCTGACAAAGGACAAGAGTCTAAACAGCTAAGAGTAATAGATATTACATCTGGGGCCCTGCTGTCAAAACCAAACAAAAAGATTCAAAAGACATTGCCATATACGTTCCCCATCATCAGCAATAATGGGTAAGCGCCATCGTGTTTAATGGGTCTTCTAGTAAAACAACCTTCCTGATATTGATGCGCATGAATTTCACTGTTTGAACAATTACTGTCACATTATTGCAGAGCAGTGGAGAAGGTTCAGAAGGTGATAGGAAATGTATAAGGTCATGCAAGCGAACCTTTAGTGGAAATTACAGCAGATGAAGATGAGTATCTGGGCTCGTGGAATCCACACAGCATTTCATTCACTTTACACAGCATAGTAAACTATAGTGAACCACAGCTCAGTGTTGTCAAGAACTTGCAGAACTTCAGAAATGGGTGATCCGCTCAGAAGCCATTCATCCTGCCCCTTTCCTAGTTGTTTCCATACCGACATCAAATACACAACATTCAACTTTTAAGACCATTAGGCTTCTCTATTGCAGTTCTGCTGTCCGACTCTTTCTTTAACATAGTATGCAAAATCACAACGATAATGTGCAAAGGTTTCATAAGATTGTATCGTAATTATCAGCGATAGTCTTACATGAACCTCCAACTGTTTGCATTTTATTCTTATCTACATATTTATTTTTCTTTGCACTCTGTGTTAAGTTTTTTTCTCCTTCTTGTTGCTTTCATCTTTTCCCTTCCCTGCATTGAACCTTTGACACTGTTGCAACATCTTAATTGCCACCGAGGTTCAAAACAGTTTTATTTCTTGCCACTGACACAATGATTACTCTTCCAGAGACTGAGATTTAAGACGCTGCCAACTGCTTTGCCGGTCTTTGCTCTGATACGGCAACAGTCCTTTGCTTTACTTTCTTCTCTCTGTTGTGAAGATGTAAAGCTTTGCCAGAGTTGACACTGCCCTTCCTTGGCAACTGACAGCTCGATTGCATATAGCACTCACTGTAATAAGGAAACGCAGGTTAGCCGTCTTCTGTGTGAGCTTTCTTCCCTTCTCTTTTTGCTTTTCTCTTCTCTTTGTAGTCATAAAAACAGCCTGAAAATCAGCCTTTAACTGAGATCAACACAGTGCAAAACCTCAGAAACTCTGCTATATGGAGATAAACTGATGGCGTGAGTAGATTTTGCTGAAATCTGTGTGCTCCGCTCGCTCATTGGAAATCTATGGGCAGGTGCCACTTAGTCATATCAGAACTCCTGTTCTCTGTGTTTTCACTCCAGCTGCACAATATTGATTCCTCTCAACACTAAGCCTCTGACTAAACCACTGAAATCTTGCTCCTTTGTTCCTCCCTCCTCCCCTCTGCTGACTCACTCAAAATGCACCTTCTCTGTCCGTCTCTTGTTTCTACCTGTGATCACAGTGTGATCTGAAAAGAAAA